GATTTAAATCTATGGCAAGGTATTTTTTTCTTTATTATTATTAAAGTTTTACTTTTTAATTTCCATTATATTATTATTAATTTATTTTCCTATAATTTGTCCGTTCGTGTACTATAAATTTATTTTCAAAATATAATACAGCCGTAAACGGGTTTGCTAATCACGAGGTCCCAGGTTCGCAACTTGCTCAGGTCAAAATCAATTTTGTTTTACTTTATTATTATTAAAGTTTTTACTTTATAATTTCTGACACTATTATTGTAGTTTATTTATCGTTTACTATAAATTCATCGCTTTTGCATAGTTTTCAAATTTGAAATTAAGTTTAATGTTCGTCCTTGCTTAATTAATTCCTTCCGAAATAAAAATAATTGCTAATAAATAAAAATAGCACTTCTGTTCACTAGTAAGCAAGAAACTCTCTAAGTAGTAAGGATCGACATTTCCTGGCGAGTCTGCTCTAAGAAACATTTCGTTATTGCGCTTTGTTGGTGCGATCTTTTTCCTTGGCACGGTCGCGGTGCACAGAAACACAGAGTTCCCTGCTCAAAGGAGACATCATAGATAATATACTATATAGAACATGAGAAATTGCAAGTGATGCTTTGAAACATAACATACTTGAAGCCTCGCGCAACGTGAGTCATTGTATGTACGAATACATTTTATTCAATAACTCGAAAAATGTAATTAATTCTTAGAAATCCCTATTTTATATTACTGCACTAGATATTATATATTATGTGATGTCATTTATTAATTTTTTTGCTTCATAATATGCACCACGACCAGAACAAATCGGATAACTTGAAAATAAAAGGTATTTTTGTGATTTTTTTTAATCGATAAAGTTTAATTCTATTACGTTTTAACTAATAATGTCACTCGCAATTACGATGTTATATCCATATTAATATTTTTTGTTACTTTGCACTTGGTTTACGATTGACAATTTGTGGTAGTACGTGCTCTTAAGAAGCATGGTCCTTTTTCGGTGCCTAATGCAAGTTTCTAGATACAAACCCTAACAACCCTATGGGCTTAAGCTTTTAAAATAATATATATATATATATATATATATATATATATATATATATATATATATATATATATAGCTTAAAAAAGATAGGGAAGTTAAATTGTAATGTCTTGCCTTTTTTTGTTTTATAAGTAATAGTACCCGGATGACCGAGCTTTGCTCGGTTTTTTTTAAGTTACATTTAGATACAAATTACATGAATAATATTTTTTGATCTTATTGACATAATAGAAAAAACTGAACTGTTTATTTAAATAAAAAAATCATTAGTGCAATTAGTATAATTAAAATTTTCGTATTTTTTAAAAAATACTAAAAAAAAAGGGCTCGAAATAATAGATTTTCACACAAAAGAAGGGAACTTGAAAAAAAAAAAGGAAAAAAAGTCGGACGCAAGACGGGACGCGAACCAAGGCATTACAATTTCACGACCGCTCGATATCCACTTGAGCTATTACGATCATTAACACAGTGTCAAAATTTACCTTCTTATATTGTAGCAGTTTTTCATTGCCTGAAAACACGGACAAAAAGACATATTCTAAAAATAAAAATAAATCCTAGGTCGATTTATCGCCCCCGCAACTCCCTGGACACTAAATTTTATGAAAATCGTTGCAGCCGTTTCCGAGATCCCATTTATATATATATATATATATATATATATATATATATATTTATATATATATATATATACAGGAATTGCTCGTTTAAAGGTATAGGATTTTGTAGTAATTCGATTAGAAATACATAAATTAATCAAACTACATAAAGTCCTCAAAGTAGAAGAATTAAAAAAAAATTAAAAGTATGTAAAAAATAAAAAGCATACCACTGAGGTATTGTTTTGTTTACCAATATAACTATTTAAAAACAGAAAATCTTTATTTAAAATGCAATTGTTCAATGAATATTGTCACTGTGTGACCACCTGTAAAAATTTATTATATTATCCTTACTTTACTCTTTGGTACCAATAGCGACATGTAATGACAATTATTAGTCTCCGTCATCAATACTTATGTACATATTTTCTTTGTAGAATATTTCGAACTGTATAATGAAATGATATATACCTTACTTTTAAGATAGATGGCAATGTATAGAACGTGGAAAAAGGTACGTGCTAGTACTAAGTAGTTTTCTTATTAGATGGCGCTATTATATAATGTTCCATGCCAAAATTCCGGATCACTTTATTATTGTCATTGTAAGGAATACAGACTGTGTATTAAAAGGTGTCCGTAGAAAACCGTTAAATAAGGGTGGCGTTTCTATAGCTACGGGGTAAATTTTAAAGAACGCGCCGGAAAATATTAGTGGGATAGATGACTTTTTCCAGATTATATTTACTGAATAAAATTATTTTAGATTTTTTTTATTTCTTTTATTTTATTTTAGAGCTACTTGTTACTAGTTTAGCAGCACACTTCACACCGTCGACAACTACTAAGTTCATTTCATCTAGCTGCTTTTTGTAGCTACTCCAGCGCTGTTGTGGAGAGTTTTTGAACTGTTATGTCATGAAGGTTAGAGAACAGAACGATCAATACGTACTAAAGCATAGCCCGCCTGTCCTTGAAAATTGTCCTTGTTTATAGCGGCGCTGACGTCGGTGAGTAGCGACTGCGAAGTTAGCTGTTTATGAGTACAAGTAGATGAAGTTAGTTAGAAGTTTTCTTGCTCCGTAATTTTGTAATTTTTATCAAAAAGAAACATTAAAAAATGGAGAAATATTTTATTGTGCGTGAACGTGCAAGAGGTTTAGTATATGATCGGAAAAACAGACTGAAAATGACTTTTATTGACCGAACTTAGCGATCTCAGCGCCTCATTTATGGTGTCCAAATTTCTAGGGCACCATTTTCTACGGCGATCGTTCTCCTGTCCTCTAACCTTCATGTGTTATTTATTGCTTACAGATGGACACTTTTTCAACTATTCTCCTATGAGAGATTGTTCTCCTTATCACAAACGTTCTCGACACGAACTCAACCGTTTTCATCTAAAACGATGGATCTTAACCGTGAACATTTGCGCGCTATTATCTTATGATTTTAAATTTGGTTTAACAGAACAATTAGAACTAGATTTAGTCGCCCCCAGTCCGAGACTTAGTTCAACAAAGTTTCGAATTCAGACATAAGTTTGTCCCGGTACTCTGTGACGTTTTCCCGAGAAATATTGGCAGGAATTTTGACGACAGCTCAACCTAACGGACAGTTGATGATCACAGCCACCCAAGTTCATAAGGCGCCCAAGCAATCAAAATAACTTCAGGTTTATATCAACATCAAAGCACTTGTTTCGTCGTTTTCACTAATAGTTCACACGCGCAGACACTTAATTCCCAAAATCACATCACTTTTACGAATCAAAATCCACTTCAAACCATTATTTAAGCGACAAAACAGGAGCGATAATCCGTCTACGGCCAAGTTCCCGCCAAAACTCCAGATATCGTGATTTTATTAATTACGTTTACGACATGGAGTATAGAGGTATCTCTACACCTATACCTCTACACTCCGTAGTTTACGCAAATGGTCACACATTGTCATCATTATTGAAAGGTTGAGTTATAAATATATAATTGTTATAATTATCATCATTATTGCAGCCCTTCACAAGTCCACTACTGAACATAGGCCTCCCTTAAAAAGTGCCACAAAGCACGGTCCGGAGCCATGATCCTCCAAGCCTCCATCGACTTCCTGAATGTCTTACCATGTCGTCAGTCCATATAGTGGAGGGTCACCCTACACTTCGCCTAACGGTACGAGGCTGACACTCGAGAATATTTTTTTCCCATCGGTTGTCAGTTGTTCGAGCTATATGGCCGGCCCAGCTTTCTAATTATCCGTTGGGCTATGTCGATCACTCTAGCTCTATTCCGAATATCTTCATTTCAAGTTTATAACGCAGAGAAACCCCGAGCATAACCGTCTCCATAGTTCGCTGAGTGACGCTGTGCGTCCTCATACGGCCAGCAGTGCGGAATCACGTCTCAGATTCGTAAGTCATCACTGGCAACTTACACTGGTTGTACAGTCTCGTTTTCAGGTTTTGAGGTATACCGGACGAGAAGATGTGTCGTAATTTTCCGAACCCTGCCAAGCCGAGTGGAATCTGTGGAATATATATATATATATATATATATATATATATATATATATATATATATATATATATATATATATATATATATATATATATATATATATAAAACCTGTTGCAACAACAGGTTTTTTTTTTTGCAACAGGTTTCTAATTGCCATGTAATATTAAATTAGTACTTAAAAAATTAAATGTTATACATACCTATATAAACTATGTTTTTATTTTGTGTCTTTAGTCATTATTAGGTAGGTATTATACGTGGTATAGTCACGCTACAGCTTTATTATGGTTGTAGTACGAATGGGTTGGTTCGTCTCAAAAAATACCAACGTAAAATAGCAGCTTAATGTTGCTGTGTTTTATATAGTGAGTGTAAAGAGACCCTTTTAGATGGAATGCCTCGCTTAGTGCCCGACTAAGCGAGGCATTCCATCTCAGACTTCCGGGGTGACAACGCATCTGCATTTTAATTGTTAATCGAGGATAGATGTAGATGTCTATGGGCCACTACATTCACTTACCATCAGGTGTACTGTGTGCTCGTCGTCATACTAATTCTATTAAAAATAAATTTGGTTATGAAATTTGAGTAACGAGAAATTATATTTGTGGATGAAAAAAGTCAAACAAAAAATTATTTATAGCAGCAATATTTTTAACTTTTATTAATATTTAAAATCACCAATTGGCGAACCTTTTCACTGGTTAATCGGGTACTTCTGTCATTAATAATGTACCCAGCTTTCGAAAATATTCGTTCACAAGGCATACTGGTAGCCAGGAAATTGCCCCTTTTAATAAATAACTTGCATAGTGTTGGATAAAGATTGCGGTTGTTTTTCTACCATTCAAGGGATGTGTCTTCGGAGTTTCGGGGCAATAATGCATGTTCTAGATATGCTCCTATTTCCGTAATCGCTTTTGCCATAGGTGAGCTTCTTGGCTGTAAATTCTTAACTTCCCGATCAAAGTCGTCCCATATGGATATCTCTTTTGAACAGCCAGGTTGCGGCGGCTCATTGGAAGTGGTGGGATAATGTGTAACAACAGAGTTGCTGATCATAGTAGCAACCATATCAATGGCTCTTTTTTTGGAATGATCTGCCGCACATTTATCACTAAAGCCACTCATTTTAAATCTCGGATGTAAAAGTGTGCTCATAGCCAACTCTTTATGGTATTCAATGTTATTGAATCTCATTGAAAGTCCCTCTTCTAGTTTCAGTAGCACATTGCTAATGACAGGCTTGTATTGGTTTTTAAGCAAATTTTCACACACGTTATGTAAACCAAGCGTTACAACTATCGCCATACTGGCGGTGGTGTATTTTTCTCCACTCATTTTGGCCGTTGCTTGCTCAAATGGCTTTAAAATAGTGGTAAGTTGCGTACATATAATCCAATCGTCTTCAGATAGAGACCCATCAAAATCTCTTTGCACCAGAGCCAAAGTGGCCCGCACTGCTTCTTCCAACTATACAAAGCGCTGCAACATGAAAAATGTTGAATTCCAACGAGTAGGTATAGATTGCTTGAGTTTTTGGGTATATTAACCTGTTGTTGAACTTGATATTTTATCAATCTATCTGTTGAAGATGAATTTCTCTTAAAATATGATACTATATTTTTTATTTTTTCTAAAGTATCTTTAATAATTTTAATGCATCATCAACAACTAAATTTAAGGTGTGAGCATAGCATCCAAAATGCTTCCACTCTAACAAATTAATGGCATTTACAATATTTTTTGCATTGTCCGTTATTGCCAGTACTACTTTTCCGGTCAAGCCCCAGGCTTCAATCGTGTTTTTTAATTGGCTAGCTAGTAGTTCACCTGTATGTTTTTCACTATAGTGAGCACATTCTAAAAGTACCGTTTTGAATTCTAATTCTGATGTAGTGTAATGTATGGTTATTGCTATGCAACTACCATTTACGGAAGAAGTCCACGTATCACTTGTGAGGCGTACACTCATAGCTTCTCGCTGTACTTCTTTCATTAATTTCTCCCTGCAAGCGGTGTAAGCCGATGGTATCAAACTGGCTGATATTGTTTTCCGACTAGGTGGTTTGTACGAAGGATTTAAAGCATTTGTATATTTTAAAAATCCTTTATCTTCCACTATACTCAACGGCTGATAATCCCAAATGAAGAGATGTAACAATGCTTCATCTATCACTTTATTTTCTTGCATACTCATTTTTTTTGGAATATATGATGCCATTGTTCTTTATCGTTTTTGCGCTGAAGAGCCGGAGCTAATGGCGTCAGAAATCGTAGCGGTAGAATTTATTGTTAACGCTGATGCTATAGCATGTTCTGGATTTGTCACATTTATCTAGAGATATAAAAAGATGTCAATTATTTATTACTTGAATTTAAAGCTTTTTTTAAAATAATAGAATGTTAAATAAATTTTTCTCTTGATATCTTATCGATTTTTTTAAGCAACGACGTAAAAGTAGACATTTTAAGATAAATGTAGATACCTGTGGGTCACAGCATCCACTTACCATCAGGTGAACTGTTTGCTTGTTTGTCATCCTATTCTATAAAAAGATTATATACGTAGATTACAAAATTAAATTGATAATGTAAAAATCATTTTTGATGACTTTTGGCTTTTGTCACACTCACCGTTTTGTCACTTGTTAATGTAGCTTGTGAAGCAATATTAGTATCAGGTTGGCTTAATGTATAAAATACAGACACATGCTTACGCTTTAAATGTAATTTTAAATTTGTTAAGGTAGATTTTTATGATACCGCATTTTGACATATATTACAAGTTGCAATTTTTGCCACATTTTCTCCATTGCTAAAATGTTTCCAAATATCACTGGTTTTCGAGAAATTTTATATTTTATACAGTTTATTAGTTTCCAACACCAAAGCTTTATAAATTATATCGTCATGCAAGCAAAACGAATAAACACATGCAAAAAATAAATAAAGGAAACTAAACAATAACACAATAACATATAAGCAAAACGCACTTTGAAAGTTTTAAATACTATTACTTTTATTTCGAAACTCGAACAACGTATCATAAACAATAGTTGTTAACCTCTTCAGTTCGTAAGCAACCATAACCACAGTAACTAACAACAACTGTGTGGATAAAACAGTACGTAACTGCCAAGCTGTTACTGTTACCTAACAGTTGCTCACAACTAACCGGCTGCTTTATCGACAATAGCAGTGCGCAACCTATATTTCTGCAAAAACATTCAATTCTTGGACGTTACTGAAACATTGTCGCAACAGGTTACATTTTTATTTTCGATATATATATATTTCGAAATAAAAGTAATAGTATTTAAAACTTTCAAAGTGCGTTTTGCTTATATGTTATTGTGTTATTGTTTAGTTTCCTTTATTTATTTTTTGCATGTGTTTATTCGTTTTGCTTGCATGACGATATAATTTATAAAGCTTTGGTGTTGGAAACTAATAAACTGTATAAAATATAAAATTTCTCGAAAACCAGTGATATTTGGAAACATTTTAGCAATGGAGAAAATGTGGCAAAAATTGCAACTTGTAATATATGTCAAAATGCGGTATCATAAAAATCTACCTTAACAAATTTAAAATTACATTTAAAGCGTAAGCATGTGTCTGTATTTTATACATTAAGCCAACCTGATACTAATATTGCTTCACAAGCTACATTAACAAGTGACAAAACGGTGAGTGTGACAAAAGCCAAAAGTCATCAAAAATGATTTTTACATTATCAATTTAATTTTTTAATCTACGTATATAATCTTTTTATAGAATAGGATGACAAACAAGCAAACAGTTCACCTGATGGTAAGTGGATGCTGTGACCCACAGGTATCTACATTTATCTTAAAATGTCTACTTTTACGTCGTTGCTTAAAAAAATCGATAAGATATCAAGAGAAAAATTTATTTAACATTCTATTATTTAAAAAAAAGCTTTAAATTCAAGTAATAAATAATTGACATCTTTTTTATATCTCTAGATAAATGTGACAAATCCAGAACATGCTATAGCATCAGCGTTAACAATAAATTCTACCGCTACGATTTCTGACGCCATTAGCTCCGGCTCTTCAGCGCAAAAAACGATAAAGAACAATGGCATCATATATTCCAAAAAAAATGAGTATGCAAGAAAATAAAGTGATAGATGAAGCATTGTTACATCTCTTCATTTGGGATTATCAGCCGTTGAGTATAGTGGAAGATAAAGGATTTTTAAAATATACAAATGCTTTAAATCCTTCGTACAAACCACCTAGTCGGAAAACAATATCAGCCAGTTTGATACCATCGGCTTACACCGCTTGCAGGGAGAAATTAATGAAAGAAGTACAGCGAGAAGCTATGAGTGTACGCCTCACAAGTGATACGTGGACTTCTTCCGTAAATGGTAGTTGCATAGCAATAACCATACATTACACTACATCAGAATTAGAATTCAAAACGGTACTTTTAGAATGTGCTCACTATAGTGAAAAACATACAGGTGAACTACTAGCTAGCCAATTAAAAAACACGATTGAAGCCTGGGGCTTGACCGGAAAAGTAGTACTGGCAATAACGGACAATGCAAAAAATATTGTAAATGCCATTAATTTGTTAGAGTGGAAGCATTTTGGATGCTATGCTCACACCTTAAATTTAGTTGTTGATGATGCATTAAAATTATTAAAGATACTTTAGAAAAAATAAAAAATATAGTATCATATTTTAAGAGAAATTCATCTTCAACAGATAGATTGATAAAATATCAAGTTCAACAACAGGTTAATATACCCAAAAACTCAAGCAATCTATACCTACTCGTTGGAATTCAACATTTTTCATGTTGCAGCGCTTTGTAGAGTTGGAAGAAGCAGTGCGGGCCACTTTGGCCCTGGTGCAAAGAGATTTTGATGAGTCTCTATCTGAAGACGATTGGATTATATGTACGCAACTTACCACTATTTTAAAGCCATTTGAGCAAGCAACGGCCAAAATGAGTGGAGAAAAATACACCACCGCCAGTATGGCGATAGTTGTAACGCTTGGTTTACATAACATGTGTGAAAATTTGCATAAAAACCAATACAAGCCTGTCATTAGCAATGTGCTACTGAAACTAGAAGAGGGACTTTCAATGAGATTCAATAACATTGAATACCATAAAGAGTTGGCTATGAGCACACTTTTACATCCGAGATTTAAAATGAGTGGCTTTAGTGATAAATGTGCAGCAGATCATTCCAAAAAAAGAGCCATTGATATGGTTGCTACTATGATCGGCAACTCTGTTGTTACACATTATCCCACCACTTCCAATGAGCCGCCGCAACCTGGCTGTTCAAAAGAGATATCCATATGGGACGACTTTGATCGGGAAGTTAAGAATTTACAGCCAAGAAGCTCACCTATGGCAAAAGCGATTACGGAAATAGGAGCATATCTAGAACATGCATTATTGCCCCGAAACTCCGAAGACACATCCCTTGAATGGTAGAAAAACAACCGCAATCTTTATCCAACACTATGCAAGTTATTTATTAAAAGGGGCAATTTCCTGGCTACCAGTATGCCTTGTGAACGAATATTTTCGAAAGCTGGGTACATTATTAATGACAGAAGTACCCGATTAACCAGTGAAAAGGTTCGCCAATTGGTGATTTTAAATATTAATAAAAGTTAAAAATATTGCTGCTATAAATAATTTTTGTTTGACTTTTTTCACCCACAAATATAATTTCTCGTTACTCAAATTTCATAACCAAATTTATTTTTAATAGAATTAGGATGACGACGAGTACACAGTACACCTTATAGTAAGTGAATGTAGTGGCCCATAGACGTCTACATCTATGCTTGATTAACAATTAAAATGCAGATGCGTTGTCACCCCTGAGGACTGAGATGGAATACCTCGCTTAGTCGGGCACTAAGCGAGGCATTCCATCTAAAAGGGTCTCTTTACACTCACTATATAAAACACAGCAGCATTAAGCTGCTATTTTACGTTGGTATTTTTTGAGACGAACCAACCCATTCGTGCTACAACCATAATAAAGCTGTAGCGTGACTATACCACGTATAATACCTACCTAATAATGACTAAAGACACAAAATAAAAACATAGTTTATATAGGTATGTATAACATTTAATTTTTTAAGTACTAATTTAATATTACATGGCAATTAGAAACCTGTTGCAAAAAAAAACCTGTTGTTGCAACAGGTTTCATAAAAAAATGTAACTGGTTGCATCATTGCGGTAAAGCAACGATAACGCCCATCTCTACTCCCTTCCCTATTCCCTACCTTTAAATTCACTATCCATACTCCATTCCATAGACTAAGTACAGCATTGCCATACTATTCTAGTTAGCGTATTTATATGGAATTTTATCGATTACACATATATCTGTGGTAACTAAAAATGTGGGACGCTACGTACGCTAATATAAGATTATTTTAAAAATAGGACTAAATTCGACACAATGTACAATATTTATGAAAATGTGAATAATTTTTTGCATTTTGTGTTAGGTTTTAGTGCTGACATTATTTTTAAACTTCTTAGTTTCTTAAATACAACATTTTACATATTTGATTTAGTTTGAAAAATAATTTTCTTTTAGAAGAGTGTAAAATTAACATCAATACGAGACATTAAATATGCTAAAAGGAATGCCTGTTTGTTTTGTATTTGTTTATACGGTAATTCCAACAGCTTAGTCTGGCAATACCGTTGCTGTCGCTGTTTTTTTTATTAGTGTCATTTAATTTGCTTCAGGTAACGGTGGTCTTTTGGTGATCAGTTAATTTATATCTATTTTATCACATAAAAACGTTTGGAGAAATATGAAAGTGTCTTTTTTTACCACGGTGTGATGAAATATGTGATATAGGTTACGTTAAATCTACAAAATTCGATCGATCACCCGCGGGTGTCCGATCTAGGGTGCCTTTTGAAATGAGGCTGTAATTTTGTGCGAGTGATAATACTTTCGTTTTCACGCTTCGATGGCATCTTGTTGAGAAAAGCTTACTCTCAAACGAAATAAACATACAACAAATTTCGCATGACATCAATGGACTTTTAGTAGGTAAGTTATTAACAAGTTATGCGAGACATGGCATATTGGAATGCGCCGGTAAATTATGGCGGCTATTGTTTTTGAACCCATCAGTCGGCATCGAGCATTAGGCTACGGGCTGTTTGTTTTCAATTTTTGTGGTAAATTGCAGCCCGTGAATACAGTTACTTCAAGCTCTGTAGCTGGGAATCATCGATGTCACTACGACAACTTACTGCAGTTATTACTGACTTCAACTTGCATTCCACACCACACAATAAGCTTATCCTATTAGAACTTGATTGATTATTTCTTACAAAGCATGGTCTTAACATGGAAAGAAACTATTATAATACTTTTACAAAACATCCAGGTACAAAATACACGTATTTTTATATAAATTACTAATCTTTAAATTTATATTGTCTTTATATGCATCTATTTTCAAGTCTCCTATGTTATTCAAAGTTCCTCCTTTTAAAAACTTTTTCATTATTGTTTTTTAAATTCACATGTTTTTGTACCTGTGCAAATTCTTTCATTGAAAAGCAATGAAAGGGAAGTCTTACAATGTATATATTTTGTACAACATATTGAATATGTTATAATGTAGTGGTATTAGTAAGTTCATTATATTCATTTCTACTATTAATATATCCAAATCTATCTGAGATCTATCCATAAACATCTTTGCAGTTTGAGAGATGTGTTAGTACCAGTAAGGCCTGCCATACACTACATACAGAATACCGGTTCATTCCACGGGTCCAGGTTGCCAGCAAAATTCCATACAGGAAAACTACCCCATCATCCATCATTGATTTTATATGAACTTGCTGCATTCGAAATCCCGAATCGGAATTCCGAAGCAGAATCCCGAATCGAAAATCTGTATGTATGTGGCAGTCCTAATAAGTACATTTTTCCATCCATCCATTACAGCTTATAAAGGTCCATTGTTTAACATAGGCTCCCCCATAGATTGCCTCATAGAGGGGATTTTGCCATAGTTGACACGCTAATGCCACTACCCCATATCATCCTGTGGGTGTTGTAAGAGGCGACTGAGGGAAATTGAATTGTAACAAGTTTATTTTTAAGATCATTCAATTATCTATCAGTAAATGTTTCCCCGAATTCTTGAACAACTGTATGAATGATAATCTCTGAGTAAGCTGATTAAGCAACTTGTTATCACCATATAAATAACGCTTTATCAATTTCCGTTCTTAGCACCGATGTCCAAATGCTTTAGAGTAGTAATTTTAATTTTTATTGTTTTTTAATAATTTGCTTATTGATGTTAAATTGTTATGATGCAGTTTTCTTATGTTTGTTTTATAAAGGCTTAATGAAGTTTTGTTTGCTATTTTTACTGTAGTTGCTTACCCTGAGCCAACCTCATCAAGATGATGGTGGAGACTATCCTTGAGTCCTCACAGGACTTTGGTAAGTGTTGTATTTCTTTGTTGTTTGCTTAGTAAAAATAAAGCTTTGACTATTTTTTTCTAAAAATTTAAACAGCACAATATTCTGTTTATGGGAATTTGATTATTTTTAGTTATAAATGTTTTATATGATATATCAGTTACTGTCAGTAAAAATTTTCAAATGAGTGGTTTATATATTAATGGTCTATGAGAATAGATAAGATAGGTGGCTCCCATAAACTGGCATCTTTATCTATATCCCATATACAATTCAATGTCTTTGGGAGCTAAAGATTTGGCACTTTAAGGGACAAAATTACTTTGCACATTGATTCATTGCAATGTATAGTGTTCACGTAAATATAAGAAATCATTATGTAAACCAGTACTTTGCACATATTACAGATAAGCTTGAATTATATTCTATAGTCAAGATTATGGTCAAATTACCTTACATATATATTCCACCACAAGGGCACAGGCCTTTTCTTGTTTTTCAAAGTGTTTATGAAGCTCATAATCTATGGTTTTGCTGTAACTTTGACATTAACACTAGTAACTGCATTCAATTCTTGCTGGCACCAATGAAATTGTTGCAATTTTATTAACTTTAGTGAGAGGTTTTGGTATGCCAGCTCACGGCCGATGTTGCATGAGTCTTTCCAAACCCCCTGGGCATCAGGGATAAGGATACCACACTTTTTTCTATGCAGTATCTCCAACTGTTTCTTGATTGTCAGTGAGGTGTTAGATTTAAGGTCGAGGGTAGCAATGTTCCCCTTCAGCCAAACCAGAGCCTTCTGATTATCACACCACAGCTTCAGGATCCCCTCCATGTAAATGGGTTTGCCTCTCGCATCAGAGTCCTGGCTACTCCAGGCCTCGCTGGTCATTTTCCTCTGTATTACCACGAGGATATTGTCAGCTAATTCCTTTGTTATGTGACCTGTATGCGCACACGTTTAGTTTAGTTTATGACGGGCTGTTTTCCGTAACTCCATGTCTAAGCGCATATTTTGCGTGTGGGCAGGAATACTATGGTTATTCGAGCCATGATATCTCCCCGAAGAAGCTCAGCAGTCCCTTGATGTTGCAAGCAACTTCGGGGAGCGATCCCAGCCTGCCGAGATGTTTAGCCCTGTATGAAGCGACTTCTGGACATGTCAGTAACACGTGAGCCGCCGTTTCTTTCTCTCCCATGCATGCCCTGCACAGGGGCTATCAGTAACACCTATATACACCTAGAACCTAGGCGCACACGTTAAAGCCATACCTAAATCTGCTGTAGCAGTGCAAGCATAGTCGATGCTTGCAGTCTTTGGTTGCTGTGCGGCTGGCGAGGTGGACTCTTCCAGCATCCTTTTGGCTGCTCTTTTCTTCTTAGCAGGACTCTTGGCCATTCGCTGCTTCCTGGTGGATATCTTAGAGCTGGTCCCTGCGGCTGCGCCCGCCAATTGGGCTGGATTGTTATCCTTCCCAGTTTCAGCACGGCTACTTGTTCAAGCGTGAAGCACCGCAGTTACAGTAGCTTGCACTGCCTCCTTGGTGTTGCTCTTAGAAGCAGCCAGTGTGACCCTTTCTCTACGGGCTTTTTCTTGCTGCTTCTTATTCGTTTTTTTAGCCTTTACACCACTGCCTGCTGGGATAGCCTGATAGATGCCTGCTTTAGAATAACAAGAATATCAGGCTTTAGGATTACTGGGGAAATATAGGGACGCAAAGTTACCTCATAGCGCGACATCGGGAACTCGATCCAGCTGGCAGATATGGCTGAAAAGGCCCAACCTCACTGCCCAATTACTCAATCTCGCTCGATTGGTTCAACCTTCTAGGACTCTTTCAAACTGGCAAACGGCGCTCGACAGCGCAGGTTCTAGTGCAGGTGGTTGTGTTAATCCACCGGATACACCCACTCTCTCCGGTGGTACCATCCCTCTTTTACCTGCGCTTGCGCCCCGCTGCACCAAAAAAGTACAGGCAGAGTTGAAAGTAGGGTTAGTTATTGCCGAATGTATGTTTTTTATATATGAAAATTTTATGTTTAAATGATGAAAAATGTGATAATAAAACTGATAAGGTACATATATTTACTACATAGTTTTGTTACACGCAATATTATTGTGTAGTTTCATTCTTAAGTACAATATAGTTTTGAATGATATTTCCAACTATCAACATTACCCCTAAACAGAAATTGACATTTCATTCAGAGAGGAAGATCCACAGTCATCATGATTAGCAGATTGTCCAATGCTTTACCTAACCAAGTTGTTACATCCAACATTATTGTGTAGTTTCATACTTAAGTACAACATAGTTTTGAATGATATTTCCAACTATCACCATTACCCCTAAACAGAAATTGACATTTCTTTCAGAGAGGATGATCCACAATCATCATGATTAGCAGACACATTGTCCAATGCTTTACCTAACCAAGCTGTGTTGTCAATTAAAGTGATAAATTTTCTTACATCATAATCTGGTATTCAAATATCTTCCTATTTTTTATAACAATGGGCCTCCATCCATTTCTGTGCAGAATTAAAGGCAAGAAGGCGTCCACCGTGCTGCCTCAATGTGTGTTGCCGGATAGGTTTCCTCACATTTAAATAATACTAGTTTATACGGATTTTATCGCGTATATTTAACGTTTTAAATACCCGACGTTTCGAGCACTTTACAGCACCCATTGTCACGGGGAAGACTGAGATGTTTAACGTCTAGATGTCATAGTTAACTGTTACCATAGATTAAAATTATTTAATTTTAATTTATTAAGATGTCTAAACGTTGAACATCTCAATCTCCCCGTGACCATAGGTGCTGTAAAGTGCTCTAAAAGTACCCGACCTTTAAAAAGTTAAATATACATGATAAAATCCGTAAAAACTAGTATTATTTAAATGTGTAGTGTTCGCGTAAATATAAGAAATCATTAGGTTTCCTCACAATGTTTTCCTTCAAAGCTGAGCATGTAATAAATCCACACTTAAATAACTATTCATTATTGGTGTTGGTGGCGCTCGAACCCATAAGGCATATTATCACTGTGTGCAATTTTATATTTCATTTCTTAGCTTAGTTATTTTATAGTACAGTTTTTGAATTTTAGAATATGTTTTATGATTGAGCTGGACTAGTTTCTGCAACTATGAAACTGTTGCATATTTTGCATGTAGAATTACTTACAACTTTTTAGACCATTTAAGGTCCTCATGGAATCTGAGTAATTATTTTGTTAAAAAAATCTTGGGGACTGTTTTCTGCAACCCGAGTTAGCTCCATTAGCCGGCAACCTGATATGTTTCCTTATGCTGAATGCTGGTTCTACACAAAGAGCTGTTCATAGCGCCTATAGTAAACAGATGTTTAGTAAATGTTGATTAATTATGTTATATTATTTGATGTTTATTAATTAGTCTGCAGGGCATTCCATCTTAGTCCCAAGAGATGACAATGTATCTATGGCCTATTTTACTTAAAGCTGGCTGCAGGCGACCATAGGCTGCAGAACCACTTACCGTCAGGTGGTCGGAAAGTTTATATACCACTTCTGTTTTTTTTTTAAATCAATGCAAAGTGTAGGTCAAATGTGAAATACAGTTTACATAAACAACGCTAATTGTTCCACTCATTAATATAATTGATTACATTGAAGTCAACTATAAAGCGACACTGTTATTTTCCTGGGCTAACTGGAATAATTGATAATACGTGTGGGTGTTCCTAGTGTTGGGGTCAGCTTGATAAACATTGTTTATTTGTAGTTTATTTTATGTGATGAATGCTGATTGTAACAAATTGTATATTGCCTTGTTGCGGCATATTACTTTTTTAAAATAAAATTAAAAGTAACAACTAATCTTGCAGTCCACCTAATGGGAAGTCCACTGTTGCCCATCCCGCCTGCAATAATTTCAGACAGAGAAGGTTGCAGGTGCATTGTCTCCACTGTGGACATTGATAAGCTGTAATGAATATGAATGAATGAAGCTAGGTAATACACTACTATACTGGAAAAATTTAATAAAATAAAAAATTTCTAACGTTTAATTTAAAAAAATTGTTCTTATTTTTATAGAATAACAGTGCCATAGGCTTCTTCTTTGTTCATATGTTACACCCTATTTTTTCCAGATGGTAAATAAGGTCATCCAGTATATTTTTCACGTAGATCCTAGCTAGCAAATTTTCAGTCAAACATCCAGTTGAATGATGATTATTCCGGTAATGATCACACAATAGACTTCATTTAGTTTTAGTTGGTATGTTGTGTGCAGGCATGTCGAACGGTTCCCTGCCGCAGTGGAAGCGCGAGCTGCTGCAGCGCCGCGCGGCGCGTTCCCGACCGCCGGTGTCGCCCCCCGCGCCGCCGCCGCCGCCTCCTCCCCCTGAGCCCGCTGACGACGAGGAGCTCCGCTATGGGCCAGGGATAGTCAAACGCCTTAAGTCCCGCTACCTCAGCTTAGCGCTACGAGACGCCCCTCGTAGACGTCCGTCAGTACTACGCCGCGCCGCCTCCCTCGAGCACTTGCTGGACGAACCGCCGGCGCCGCGAGCGCACTCGCGCTCCGCCCGCCCCGTCTCCCTCGCCGCGCCCCCCACCCCCGCCCGCCGCGACTCAGTTAAACGCGCGCGCTCTGTCGACGCTCTCAGCCGTTTGGACGAACCAGAAGCGGCTCCTCGCGTTCGCCCGCCGCGTAGACCCGCGCCCTTGTTACGAGACACGGAGCGTCCGCCGCCGGATGTAGTACGATCCGCGCTTCGTAAGTTCGAGTCGGCGCCGCCGCGCAGGACTGCCCCGGCGGCGCGGGTTTCTGCTGTGCTCCGCGGCTTGGAGTCCGGACCGCGCTGCTCCACACCGGAACCACTCGGTCGCTCGCCAAGTCCCGCGGCCGCGGATCTTTCCGCTATAGATGAACCCGAAGGGGCAGTACTTTCCGCAAAGCCGGTGTCCCGTGCCGCTCTAGAAGGCATCGCCCGTGCTGGTTCCTCGTTCACATATTCGTTCGAGGCACCGAGGAATGGATCTCACTTGCCGACGGTAGCCGCCACCAATCCAGTGCTGCTGGGTCGCGCTCGTCTGTGGACGTCACCACGCCGCGTCGGCGTCATCCGACCAATGCCGGCCCCGCAACTAGAACGTGCCCTTTCAAGTCCGGCACCTCCGCCTGAAGAATTCACCGAGAAGACTAACGAAGAGCCACGGGTAGTGACACCACCGCCGGAACCGGAACCGCGCTTGGAGAAACGTGAGCCGCCGGCGGCTGTAGTCGAGCCGATACCGCGATCTCCCCCCACAGAAAGCACTCTGAGCGAAGTAATTCGAGCGCCCTCCCCGCGTCCGATCCCGTCCCCTCGCGAACGCACCCCGGACCCCGTGGATGTGAAATCGGAGCCGCGAGTGATGGAAACTATCCCCAAACCAGCGCTGGTGAACGGCCACGCGGAACTCCAACGTGCTCCTGAAGTGAAAGTGCGAACCCCGTCCCGTATCGGATCCGCGGGGATAGAGCGAGCCTGGACCGGAGCAAAAGCCAAGAAGAGCGTAGTGATAGAAGAGAAGAAGGAAGCGGAAGTGAAGATGGCAACGTGGGCGCGCAAACCACGGCCGCCCGTACCGTCGTCCACTTCGGTGGTGTTCAACTTCTCGAACCGGAAGGAAGTGCCCGACTACATCGAAAACGACGGCATCATACTGCGGTCCAGCCGGCGGAACCGGATCAAGGTGAGTTTCACACTCCATTTCCTTGATACGCTAGGTCGATCGTACATGACATGTAACGTCTGTACTTGACCTGTTATGTTAACGATTGAATTCACTAGAGACTATTTTCTGTTTTAAACTTATTGCTTATGAATGATTTCTATCGGATTACGTCATAAATAGCTCAACCAAATGTGAAATCTCCATTGACTCTTTGTGCCTATTTGATAAGTTTCCTTATCCTCTGTGGTTTTGACATTGAAATTTCTAAAGATGTATTCCGTAACACGCATAACTAAGGAAATGGTGGCATTACACCATCACTGTCGGTTTCATAACGTTATAACTGAATAGGGTTGCCACCGGTACTGTTTCTAACATTCTGTTTTGATCAACCCATAAAAGTTTACGCCTGGACATGGCCTCCGCTGGTGTAGAAAGAATTTGCGTATCGTTACGATTTTAAATCTTTGTATCACACCTTTCGCGACTTTGACACGTTGTTTTTCCACAATATAATATAGTTAGTTCTTTTTATGATTCTTGCAGCTGCCACAAAATCTCACCACTCATTACTCTCACTTAAACCCGCCCATTGTTGCCCTATTTATTAAGGTGTTAATAATAAAGATTAAATAAAGGAATAAATATTTTACTTCTATCATAAACGAAATAGTTATTATATCGCCGTTTATAGGAAATTAAATTTCTGACACTTCCAGTTGTCATTTGTTACATAGAGTTTTTGAACATTATTATTATAATATTTTATATCTGTTGAATATATTGAACAAAATGAAGTAAATTAAAAAAATAAATGTTAAAGAACATTTAACTGTCGGTTAATGATTTATTATATTTATGCGATATTGCGGGGGGGGGGTATTTTACCCATAACCGTGGGTGCAGAACACTCGGAAATTTCTGAAATTAATAGCAAATAACACGCCATATAAGCACCACGCTCACAGAGAACGAAAGTGCACACTCTAGTGCACTTTTGTTAGTGTCCATTGAAAGATACATAACACATTGCCATTATGGAGATATGTGCCATGGTTGCCACATTTGATAAGATGGGTTGGCAAACACCATTTTTATTAATTCAAGTTCTTATGGGGAAAATGCTGCTGCCGATCTTTTGAAATCGAGTTCAAGGCGCAGGTTCGGCCGTACATGGAATACTGTTTCCATCTCTGGGCTGGGGCTCCCCAGTACCAGCTCCTTCCACTTGTCCGCATCCAGCGCAGAGCGGTTCGAATCGTCGACGACCGAGTGCTTTCCGATCGGCTCGATTCACTGGCGCTGCGAAGAAATGTTGCATCTGTTTGCATTTTCTTTCGCATATACCATGGGGAGTGCTCTGAGGAATTGTTCGGATTAATCCCAGCCGCCAAATTTCGTGAACGCACTACGCGGCAAACGTCCCGATACCATCCGTACTATCTGGATGCTTGGCGGTCCACCGCTGTACGTTTCAAAGGAGTTTTCTTCCGCGTACGACCTCTCTGTGGAATAGTTTACCACCGGCGATTTTTCCGGACCGATACGTCCTGGGGGCCTTCAAGAAAAGTGCTTACTCCTGTCTAAAGGGCCGGCAACGCACCTGCAATTCCCCTGGTGTTGCGGTTGATCATGGGCGGCGGTAGTCACTTAACATCAGGTGAGCCGCATGCTCGTTTCTATAAAGAAAAAAAAACGAGATCGGCTGATTAATTCTATAGGCACGTCATTTCTTGTGAGAAAGAGCTAACCCCTCTAACCTTAGCCAACGAGCAATGGCAAGACCCGCCAGTACAAAGCATTTTCCGACCTCCCGGTAGGAGAAGGACCGTATGGAAGGAGAACGAGCTCCACGGGAGGTTCTACAAGGCTCTACATGGAGCCTTTCGCAGACACAGTTGCCTCCCTCCACTGGCAACGTTTTGATGAATTCTTTGGGGAAACCGAGGGTTTTGTCTGTGCGATACAGAATCAGGTTGTTAAGACCAACAACTATCGAAGATACATCCTAAGGGATGGTACCGTCGACATCTGTCGAGCTTGTCGCCATCCCGCTCAGTCACTTAGGCATGTCATCTTTGGTTGTTCGACGCTTTCTAACTCTGAGTACTTGCACAGGCACAACCTACTAGCCAGAATTCTATACTGTGAGCTCGCTCTGACGGTCTCTATGGTCTACAGCATTCACTTACCATCAGATGAACTGTATGCTCTTTTGTCAGCCAATGCTATAAAAAATATATAGGATTATAGTGTCCAAGTGTAATGCACTCTCTATTCCCTCATAGTCCGATGGTACGGTAAACCGACACGACCGGAGAAAGATCAGGCGCAGGACCAACGGCTTTACGTGCTTTCCAAGGCACGGTGGTGAGACACCGCCTACTTCCTAATGAGAATTTCTTGACGGAAAACTCAAACAGATTTTTTGAATCGACTCGGGATCCGAACCTCATGATCAGCAGTGCACTACTACAACTACTAAAACAACGAGGCTATCATGGTATTAAATAAAAGTGGCAATCGACGCACGTAAAGTCAATTAGTTGATTGGACGTAGTGCTGCGAGCGGTGAAAGTGCATAGGTAGTCAGTGAAACTGTCTGTTATGGGGCGCAGCCACTCTCGGTTTCGGCAGATGCCACGAAAGCGACTCCGGAATGCCGTTGAAATGAGGCGGTATATCTGATCGCCTTGTGTGTGGCACTCCGCATGAATTGGTAATGCTTAGCGTGCCCGAATATGAACATCAATCGAAAACGCACGTGCTGCTTATGAAATTTTGTATGAACTGTATTCGGGGTGCACTTCGTTTTCTGTCCCACGTGGGACAGACGTAAATAAGTCCCGAATATAGTTCATATAAAACATTTACAATAGTTTTATAATAGGTCATATAAACATATTCAAATTTTATACTTTCGTAAAAATTATGTCCTAAAGTTTTAAATTCACTTGATATGTTGACCTTTAAACGCCGTTGTTCTAAAGACAAGTGTTCCTCGAGTGGTTTTATTTATATTTCCATTCATCATTCATCAAGCATTCCATCTTAGTCCTCAGGGTGACAACGCATCTGCGTTTTGATACTTATTCAAGGATAGATGTAGATTTCTATGGGCCACACCAATTACCATCAGGTAGACTGTGCTCGTTTGTCACCTTTATCCTATATTTAAAAAATACCCATGAAATTAATTTATCATTTCAGTTTTGCTTAAATATAAACTACACTATGCGTTACGATAAGACAGCACATTAACACCAAAGTGCATGAAAACTCCGTTTTTGAACAAGGATTTTAGTAGGAAGTTGTGAAAAGAATTTATTGTTAGATAGGTACTTATAGAAAAAAATAATTTAAAAAAATTAAATAATAATTTCAAAACACCAGTTCAACTATTAATCACATATTTTTTTCATTTAAAATCATCCTAAGTTGCTGATAAATAGTTTGTAATGTAAAATATTTATTCGTTTTTTTCTTTTCAAAAACTCGAAGAAAAACGGAAGTTGGTTTTTACTTTTTAACTTTTTCACCGTTTTGAGTAGACTAAGGAATATCAAAAACTCGAATGCCGTCTCAAAAGTTATATTAAAAACTTCATATCATTTGAAATATTTTCTAAAAAACTGAGCTGTATCATTTCACGCGTTGACTTCGGAAGATATTCTGGCGGCGCTGTCGTCGCAAGCGAAACACACCGTAGCCTAAATCACGCTATCAATATTCCGAATCATAAACAGTATATATATAGAACATCTCCGAACTATCACACGGAGCGTTGGCCGCTCCCCGGGCAGGACACCACCACCTTCCTACCACGGGCACAACATCAATGGACCGGTCGCTAGAATGCGGCGAGATATTTGAGAAGAATTGGCGTAACCGCGTATTAAGAGGTTCCCTTGAAAATGAATCGAAGTTTTGGGGGCGTGGCTTATTCCTTTGTCGGAGAAGCTAATGGACGACTGCGGAAGTGTCAAAATGAAAGTGATGCAAAGACATAGTACGCAAATTATTAGATAGCCATACCGAGCAAGCGCTCGAAAACAAACTAAGTAAGCGCCAAACATTTTTATTTATTTTAACAAAATTTCGTTATGTATTAAAAAAACTGGTTTATGAGAACTTAGATATGATTATTTACTATGCCTTAAAAATAATTCCATGAAATTATTCGTAACAATATTGTGGTGTCATCGAGAAATGTAAATAATTAGAGTCAACTTTGCAATTTTTTTCTATCGAGAAAATAACATGATATCGTGTTTTCCTTTTATGCAATTCAAGATCATATAGTCAAAAATCATACACCAAAATTTTGGTTTGTAATTTATAAAACCTAAAAAATGTGTGAAATAGAAAAACCACCAAATTTTCGAGGTATCACCTTAAGGACCGGCTAACTCGTGTTTTGTTCAAAGAATAGTTAATTTGTTTCACACTTTTTGCCAATGTATAAGCTAAATATATATTTATTAAAATGTGTGATACTATCTGTGCCCCGCATGTTTTGTGATGGTGTTTTTTAGACAAATTTGAAACTCAAAAAAGCTCGCTAAAATTTTGCCCTGATCGGATAAATGGTATACGCATGCGGGATAAACAAAAACCATCCCAGTCCCCAAGGTATTTTTAAGAACTTTATGGTATATCAAAATATATTATTTTTAATTTGTATAGTAAGACTTGAGAACGAAAATAATGATGACAAACAATTAAATTAATACATTTAGATAACAGCTAAAAAGAACAAGAATTTATTTTGTAACAGGTTTACTTTTTTTTATATAGAACTGGTGACTTCTGAATCTCGACAACAGCGCCACCTACCGGGTCCAAATGAGTTTTGATACCATCTACTCACATACAGACAAAAAATTCACCAAAATTTTTCAAGCAGTTTCCGAGCTTAAGCGAGACTAACGGACAGGAGTTGATTTTTATATATAATATATCAAGCGACAGTAGGTATTGGGTTCGAATCCACCATTCGACTACTGGCGTAACACAAGCTTACCACGAGTGGTTAAGGGGAATATTATCTATTTAATATTCTTTTTTTAAAAAATATATAGAATAAG